CTACGAAATCTTTTGACTTTCACAGTAAGATGATTATTCTAGAGGTCTATAGATATTCAAAAATCTCACATGACCAAAAGATCTAATTAGACAACATGATTATAATTTAAATTTATTAATTTAATTAATTAATAGTATAAGAAATTTTTATTATTTTTTTACAAAATTTGTTCATTTATTTACCATATAAATTGTGAATCACGATATCTACGTAAATTTATTATCCTACACGATAAGGTGATTAATTTAACTTTTTACGAAGATTCTTGAAATTTCATACGGGACTTAAATATTTAGTATAAAGAGAGAATTAATTTTAGTAATGGGCTTTATAACCCCATATAAATACCAACAAATTGATCTTCATACTTGAGAAATCTTATTAATTTTCACGGTATGAGATCATTTTAAATACCTATGGAGATTTTGAATTTCACACAATAAAATAGATAATCAAGATATTTGCGTTTGCAATCAGTTCATAATATGAATTTAGCATTCGAAGAAACAAAGAAAAAAAACTATTCTGACACTTCACTCCTCTTTTGACTTGGGGTTGTGTTCTTCAAGATTTATTTTTTAAAGTGGCTCAATGCTCAAATATGGTTTTCAAAAGAAAATAGAGAGTAGTGATGATGGTATCCAATAATTACCATAAACACGATTCACTTGTCATCTATACTATCAACATCAAATTTATTTTTCATGAATTTTCCATATCATATAAATATCATGATTTCATGGCAGACCCAAAAAGATGTTAGACCCAAAAGGATGTTAAACTCTCACTATTATTCATAACTAAAAGTATAATCTATTTGAGGCTCAAGAAGAACAAGTCCTTCTTGCACTAGATTTCTCCATGAATGCAAATAATACTAACAAGGACAAAACCTTTTCATCCAACCAAATAAATAACCGAAATAACACCCAATGATAATAAATAAAGAGAAAGAAGAAATACCTTCAGGGTCTAACTGCAAGACCAACGAGAAACAGAGAATATGCATATTAACACTCAGACTGCGATGGCCAATTATGTCCAGGCTATAGGGATTCAGTCCTCTTGCATGGTTCAAAGGGTACTTCTTTACCATGCTCCCGCTCTTTTTGAACACACGGCAAACTACCCCTTCATCTTGCTTGTTGGATTTAGAGTGAATGCTGCATTCATACATGAACAACTGGTTTTCTCACCTCTTGGAGCTAGCTCTCTCCTCCTTGGTTTTCCTCATTCTCAGTCTCCTTCTCTCTCTTCTCCGCGTCTCTGTTTCCGCCCTCCTTCTCGATCACTCTCGCTCTTTCATGCTCTCTCTTTTTTCTTTTCTCTTCGTCTCTGGTTTTTCCCCCTCTGCTCTCTTCTGCTTCTCTTTTTTGTCCTCATCTTTTTTTGTTCTGATGTCTCCCTGCATGGCTGTGTTTCTGCATTTCCATCCGTCTCGTACTCTATTTTTCTTTCTACCACAAGCCTCTTTCCCTCTCTCTCTGTCTCTCTTTTCTACTCTCTTTTTATGCTCTGTTTTTTCAGTTTTTTTCATCGGTTTCTCGTGTATTTTTTCGCTAAAACTCTCCTCCTCTTTGTTCAGGCTTCTTCTGTGCTTTATTGCTCTCTCCGTCCTCCATTTTCTGCTCTCATTCTTGTGCTCTATATTTTTTTTTTTTGCATTTTTTTTCTCTGCTCGTATGCTCTGTTTTTCTTCCATTTTCACGTCCATCTCTTCTCTAGTTTTCTGTCCTTCTCCCGTGTCTCCCCCACTCAGTCTTTTTGCATTTGTTTTAAAGCAGAAATAGGGAGAGTTGCGTGTGAAACGCTTACATGCTGTGCGTGTGTTTCATGTGTTCACTATGTACGCTTTGTCTCGTGTGCGTGTGTTCTATGCGTCCCCTCTATCTCGCGTGTGTGTGTTCTCTGCATCTGCTATTTCTGTGCTGTTTTCATGCTGCTGTGTTTGGTAGGTTCTTTTCTTCTGTTGCGTGCATCGTCTTTGTTTCTCCATGTTTCTGCGTGTGTACTTGCATGCGTCTGTGCTTCTGCTTCTTTTTCTGCGTTTCATGTGTGCTGTTTTTATGTGTACATGCTGCTGTGTGAAGCTTCCTTTCTGCTCGTCCGGTGTTTCTAGAACGAAGGACCAGAATGCATGGTTAAACGCTGGAACCTTCGGTTTTTACACACACACACATTCATTTAACCACAGTTGTTTTTTATTTTATTTTATTTTTTTGAAAAATAATTTTTAAAGGATTGAATTTTTATTTTTTTATATTTACTATATTTTTAATTCTTTTAATGAGCTAAAGAAATAAAATCCTAATCAGTAGATTATAATATTAAACTATATTAATTAAAATGTTTTTTTAATTTTGAAAATATAATCCTAAAAAGGATTAAATTTTATTTTTATATATTTTTGGTTATTTATCATTAAATTTAAAAAATGCCTGGAGAAAATATGGTGTTCACACATTAGTAATCAATTCTTTCTAAATAACCCCTTTTTAATCAAATTTTAGGTACCAATTATATTCAAATTCCCATTTTAACACCATTAACAATTCCAACACATTACATTATTTTCATTTAGTACCCAAATACTTAGATAAACACAAATTCCTCCCATATTGCTCCCAAACTCTTAAATTTCACTTAAGGTTTGTCCAAACCTTAATCAAAAATTTCAAATCACTACAAAATCTATAAACCTAAGTTTTAAAACTTAATTTAACTTTCCAAGACTTTAATTAAGCCAATGGATTTGGTCAAAACCCAAGGGAAACAAAATCAATCCTCAATCATACCCAAAACTATAGAAAATTTGCATAGAAGAGAGGGAGGATGTTTGGAAAGCTTGCCACTGAGGATTTCAAGCTCAAAATGCCTCCAAAATGCTCCCTCAATGAAGCCCTAGTAGAGCCAAGATAACCTTTGTTCGTTTCTCCTTCCTTTCCTTCATTATTTTTTGTTTTACGCATACCCTATTTAACAAAATTCGGGCACATTTGCCTCAGTAGATAGCACAAAAAGGCTCAACACATTACATGCCTTTCTCTGTGCCTTGGTTTGCTCGAATGTCAACTTAGCTCTATTTTAAGGCTATCAAATAACCTGTAAACCTCATTAGTCATCCAAAAATATCATTAATTCATAAATCACTTATTTTAACCAATTTACCCTTTAAACACTTAAAATTTTAAGGTTGAAAACTCAGGATATTACATATTGCCACTACCATTATATATCACTTCTCTTGAATATCTTTAGTTTGATTGTTCTGTCATTATCCTTTTGATATGTCCTGCAAAACAACCTTTCAAAGGGGTTTGTTGTAATCATAACAATTGATCCAACAAACACTTCCCGTAGTTTTCTATTCTTGTTCCTTGATTTGCAATTCTTTAATTTCACAAATAATTTCAGTGTTAAGGACTATTTTTCTTCCAAACTTTTTTTTTGAGAAGTGTTGGGCACTCTATACTAAAAGATGGGGCAATATTCCATCTAAACAATTTTTTCATGAGAAAAATCACCCTTTCATCAAAGACTTGTTATTTTCTTCATTATTTACTGACACAAAATAGTTGTGGGGCTTGTGCATAGTGATAATAAGGCATTTTGACCTATTTTGCCATCGTTTCACCACTAAAATCAATCTTAGTTCTTGCCACTGCTATGACCACTATCACATCGAGCCCCTTTTGCTCATGTTAGATAGTTAAAATGGGTTAGAATGCCTTATTATCACTGTGCATGGCCCTACAACTATTTCACTTTGACATATAAATGATGAGAAGATGGTGGGTTTTTGATGGAAGAGCAATTTTACTCCTAAAAAAATTATTTAGGGGGGATATCACCACATCCTTTAGTATAGGACATCTAACATTTCTTTAAAAAAATTTAGGAGAAAATGGTTTTCTATGACAACCATTAAACTTATGGAGTTTTTTTTAACTGTAATTAAGTTTGACAATTTTAAAAATAACCATCAAGCTTATTATGAAACAAGTTCCTTAGTTACCACTATAACCCTTAAATTTGTGTATGTCTGTCCTTTACTTCTATTTCTTCAACATTTTGTCTTTTAGCTGTCAAATATTTAACTTTTTACAGTGGTGGGTGTAGTATCATCCTTACCATTAATAAATGTTAACTTTGACCATTAGCGGATAAAAAATTATATAAAAGGATATTAAAAATTATGGGAAAAGACCAAGAAAATTACAAAAAAAACTAATATATTTTCTTGATCATTTTCTATAATTTTTAAGGTTCTTCTCTAATTTTTTTAGTCAACTAATGGTCCAAGTTAACATTTGTTCCCAAGTTAACATTTGTTAAAATGTTGAAAGAAAACATTGTATAAAAAATAAGTTTAGGATCTTAAACACCCTTGAACCAATAGTTTCAAGTCAATTTTTTCCATAAACCCTTGAAATAATATCAATGCACGTTATATGGTTTACCAGTATAGCTCGTATTTAAAGTCTCAATCTAAATAAAAAGAGGACATACATAACATATTGTAATCAATACATTTCACTATTAGATTTAAATTTAGTTTTATACATAAAACAGGATATTTCTAATTTTGTTAACAAATATGGATTTGTTTGCTATCAAAGGTTGATTTAGTTTATAAGGATGTGAAATGAAGGGGATTTTAATCTTGTTATTAATACGAATGCCTTGTTGGTGGATCTATAGGCACATCCAAAAATACAGATTAAATTGTGAGCTCAACTTTGGCCTTGACAAATATTGGGAAACTAATTCATCACTAAATTGTTTCATTAAAGGGGGAAAAAAAACAGAACGGTCCAATTAAAATTTGCAGTACTAGTAAATAATAAGAGGGATGGTAGGTAGGAGATCGTGTGGGGTTGTTTAACACACATGTACACTTGCTAGAGGATAAAAATCTAATTCAACTCTTATCAGCATTTCAGATCACACACGAGCACATCTAACCTCTCTCCTTTCCTCTTATCTCTACAATCCCCCCCCCTCTCTAGTTCAAATCTATAGGTTATATATTATTGGAAGAGTGAGTTGTACATGCGTGTGTTTCACCCGCAAGTCAAAACTTCAAACACTACCTATTTTTATCTCCTCCTCCTCCTCCTCAAGTTATAAAGTACAGAGTCTGGGCCATCAGAGTCATGCTTCACAAGGCAAAGCAATCAGAGAAGCTCTCAGGCGGAGCCTCAGATTTCTTGAGGTTCTTTCTTTAATCTCCTTTGCTTGATTTCGTTCTTCACTCCTTTTATTCATTAGTTGTTCATCGCCACTCATTTCCTTTATGTCCTTTTGTGATCTTTTCTATGGCCTTCACTTTTCAGATTAATTGGCTTTTAAATTAAAGCTCATCGCTGCTCAGAATTATTAATCTCTTCTAGCAGCTAGCAGGGGTGAGTGGATTCCATGCCGCTCTTGTCAAGTGAGAAGTTTTCTTGTGGACTTCCCTTTCCTTCGTTGTCTGTTCGACCTTGAAACCCTGACAATAACCTCTTTAATTATCAGCATGATGGTAGATACTAAATAGATTAAACCATATTTATTCTTTATTTCTATATGCTTTTATATATTCACCTTATTATATCCTCTCAGTTTATCATCCTAATCGGATAATTTTCTCAGATTAAAAGACTGAAATCAATTTGAGTGTTAACAGTAGTAACTAATTCGATCTTCATTTAATGCTTTGATGATGGGTTCTTTTTGCATGGGAATCATCTTCCTTGGCACCCATCTATATGTTTTGTGCTTACCTTGTAGGTGCGACTAGAGATCAAAAGTATGTTAGTGGATTTTATATTAGTACCTTGGGGACCAAATGCTTTGATTTCCATATTATAATACATACATTGTATGTGCGTGTATATTTCAACGTACTATATACGTATAGGGAGTAAAATTTCATCTTCATTGTAAAAATATATATATATATATATATGCATATGGGATAGATAGTTTCTTCAACTATATAATAGATTTTATTTAGACTAAAGTTGTTGGTGAAATTCGAGTCAAAGAACATTATATAAATATAAATATGAAATTATGTTGATTAAGGATACATTCAAATTCTGGTCCTTGTTTGGATTGTAGATGATAATCAAGCTTTCTGGATTACCTGATTCTTTTGGATGATTACGAAACGTTTCATTTCTCCTTTTTATTACCCAAAGAAGAAATATGAAAGGAAAAATAAAAATCAAGAGAGCGGTTTGGACGAAGTTAATTAAATTTGTTTCCTTTGAACGTGTGAATACTCAGAGGATACATAAATTATTGGGATTCAAACTCTTCGTACAGAGGTGGTCACGGACTTCACCAAAGATTATGATTACAGTTGGGCTAACATCGATATATTTCTCTCTACTTAATTTCCTTGGCTCCTGGCATGTCATTTAGTACTATTTATTCTTAGATCAGCAAAATTTAGTACTATTTATTCTGTTTGAAAAATGATTTTATGTTTGAAAAAAAATTGTGTTTTCTATTTTTCCGGTGTGTTAATTACAGAATAGTTGGGCAATAAATAGATAACTAATTACGATGGATATTTTGGTAAATATATTATTAAATTAAATATTCATTGATTGATGTTTGTAATATTGCTTATATTTTATTACAAATTTTTTCTTTTTTCCTATTTTATTGCTTATCTCAGTGTTCTGTAATTATGACCATTTAATAGATAAATAGTAATTATTGAAATTATGACGAAGTAGTATGGACGTTGAGAGAACGACGGGGATCAAAGATAAAGTATGCTTTTTAAAATTTTTTACTGTTTATAACCTGTCCAATCAAATCAAATCAATTCATTACTTTTTATCTGTTTAATGCATGCACATTTCTCTTCTGATTGAAGATTAATTTTTCCCCCCTCATATAATTGTCATTAGAGAAATTATTTAAATGACATGAAACTCTTGGCAAGAATTGAAACAATTTTCCAGACAAGCAATGAAACAATTTAGCAACCAAAAAAATATATATATATATATACACACGCACCCACCCACCCACCTTCAAACTAAATATATAATATCAACTTAAATTGAGTTTTGAGCCGCACGAAGTTAAATCTTGACTACTTCGAAGGCGGAAAAGGAAACACAAATTATAGTACAATGTACAGATTGGATCTAGACCTTTCTTTTATCTGTTTTATATGTAAAAATTATCTAGGAGTAAATTTAAGGTAAGATTTGCTGGTATCATTGTGCTGTCATACACTGTGAAAATATCAAGCTGGTGTGAAAATTAGGTTAATAGAGACAAGGGAAAAGACAGGTCAGAAGCATATGTAACCAAATAGTAAATTACAAGAGCTAGCTAGGTGGGTATATTATAAGTACGAAGAACTTAAAAGTTGTAATAAATGAAGCTATTACTGCTATAGGAGCATATATTAACAATAGGCTCATATGCAGTGTCACTAACTAGCTAGATTGTGTGTGTTGTGCGTACAGTAAGAGTTGGTTCGGATAGTGAAATATATTTGTGCGTAGGTTATTCATTTAAGGATGAGACGAATTGATATTTCAGTACTAGAGAAAAAGGTTTTTGTGACTTAACTGGAAGAAAAGGACTAGTCACTCTAGGAAGGTGTCGCTTTAACTTTCTTTTAAGCCATATACTTTCTTGGGTAGGGACCCATTGTATTTACTTCCATTGTTAACTAACATTGTCCTCTGCTTTATCGATCACAATCAACTAACTTTCATTTCCATTTCACATGTTGTTTGGAAACTTCCCTTAGCTTCCCACATGTAGGGTTAAAAGTCATTTCAAGTTATTTAACTTTTAAACTTAAAACTATTCACTTTGAAATATTTAATATCTCAAACTTTTATGCATTACAATTTAATTTTTTGCTTTAACTTTTGAAAATAAGGCATAGAACACTCTCTTGTTAAAAGATTTAATTTTGACAGTTAGTTGACTCTAAAATTGCAATATATTATTTTAAAAATTACAGAAAAGGACTTATAAAATTATACACAAGTTCATTATAAGAAAAATTAATATTAATTAATTCTCCTAAATTACATATAACTAACAGGATATAAATATTATTTTTGATCTACATAAAAGACTAAAATACAATTTTGACTAACCATCTTTTGCAATTTTATAACCCATTTTTTATAATTTTTTAGGCTTTTTTTATAATTTTTTATCAATTAATGATTAAAGTTAACTTTTTAATGATATGAAATTTCATGCACCATGTTTAAAAATTGAATAGAAAAACTGGACCACATAAAACTTTAGGATACCAGATACTTTTGAGTGAATAGTATAAGGACAAAAATATCCTTCATTGTAACCTTTAACTTTTATTATGCCCGGATCGGAATAATTGAATTGGTGAAATAGACACTAATGTATAATAATTTTTGATTTAGAGGAAATGCGGTTCAGTTATTAGTTCCTTTAAGTCTAAAACGTAATTAATGAGTGTATTAAATTCGTTGACGTGAATAAGAGTTTCAGTAGGTGTGAGGAATTTTTTAAGGTCGAATAGATAACGAAAGCAAGGTATGACCAAGGGACTCCTCACTTGACAAGAGTTCTGCATGGAGTACAACACCCTCCTTCAACTTTTAAAAGGTTACTATCCAATTGATTCTCACCACTCTTTGGACATTAACATTACCAGGTACAAGATCTCTCCCCCTCCCCTTTCTACACACACACACACACACACACAATTTTATCACTAGCTAGTAGTGTAGTTGTAGTTAATTGCTATTTTGTCTTTAATATGTGTACGGAGCACATGGGAGATCCATTTCCAATTATTTTGGCTTTCGTCGTCTAGGTTCGTGTTTGGTGAGTTGCTCACACCCTAATGGAATCCCTTAAATTTCACCGGTGAGTCAACGCTGTTGAAATTCGCATGTTTACACAAAACAAGCATTTAACTTGAATTTCGGCTCAAACCCTATATACAACGCCCAATGTTTTGCAAATTGGACTGAATGTTAAGTTAGAGAAGTTAGCGGTTCTTGATTTCCCGTATCTACATCACTATTTTGAAAAGTGAAGTAGAATGTTAATGTTTTTTTATTAATATATATTTTATAATTTTTTCATGGCCAAAATTAAACCTACAAGGTTTAACACACACACACACACACACACACACAAAGCAACCTAGCAGCACAACAAAATATACTAGGCATATCAATGGAACTCCAGATATCATGAATCATATTTTTTATTCTATCATTCAAATTATTCACAACTTGCTTATTTTGGGAAATAGAGGTTGTTCCCACTTCACCATGCTATAACCATCTTGTATTGCATTTATTCTATCACAAAGTAAATACTCTTTTATTTCAGCAATATACAGTAGATTCTTATTTAAACAATTGACACAAGGACAAAAATACTTCTTATTTTTACCAAGAACATTTTTTTCTAGCAAATTCAACAAACCAATCCACACCATTCTTATATTCTTTCTTTCTCAATTTCTTAACATTTATCCAATTATGATCCATTTTAATACTACCTAGTCAATTATAACAAAATCTATCAAATTAGCAATTTTTTCTGGCTTATTTATTTTCACTTTAATTTGTTAAGGTTAGAAGCGTAAGGTATACTTTTGCTTAAAAAAAAATTGACAATGGATTCCCTTAAAATAAGACATCCTAAAATTTCAACAACTTAAACCTATAGAAGCAGAAATCAATTAAACCGATATTTACATATTAAAATCAAGAAATGTCAACATTTAGCATAACCAAGCTTAATTTTATATTTTTTGAGCTTGCACAAATATGTTAATATTAGACAAAAATTTGGCAGAGTTTTTCCTTAAAAATTGAAACCTCCAAAATTCCAACAACATTAAATTAACCAATTTAACTAGCTCAGATAATCAAATATCAAATTTAAGCATAAATAGCAACAACTAATATATCAATATTAAACTATCCATTCATGAGAGATAACATTTTTCAAAGCTAATCAAACTTAATTTTGTCAAAATGAATTTGCAATATAAAACTTTTCAAAGCTAAGCAAATATGTACCTTAATTTTGTCACAACCTCAACATGAAAAAGCAAATAATCGTAAGCTCCCCACAACACAAACAACGATTCTGAAAATAAAAAGGCTAATTGATTAGAATTCGGAAAAGTTTTTGTCAATGCCACCTTATTTTATTTCCCTCCTCTTCTCAGAAGTTTAGATATTTTAAGTTTGTTTTAGTTAATTGACTAAATCCACTCAATACCTTTCTTGGAAAGTTATGTTCACATATCCTTGTCAATGCCTTCTCGTACGGCTTCAACACAACTGTGCAGTGTGTACTACATATTTATTTTAACTTTGAAAGCACAAATGGATGAACATACCGGATTTCAACCAATTTATTTCCTACCAACACTTTCCTCAATACAATATCTTTGTTCAATTAAAAATTTAATCCATTTGTACGTATTGCCAGCATAATGAATAAATTAAACCCATTTTACTCAAAAAATGAAAGGAAGAAGAACCAACCCAGATGCCGAGGCAATGGAAGCAATGCCCAGGGCTTTTATTCAAAATACAACCTGTGGTGTATGAAGAGGGAGGAGGGGTGTGGACTACATATTATATTTGTTTTCTGTAATTTAGATGATTTATTTGATATTAATTGTACATTTCTATAATTTTCAGGTGGTTCTTTTTCTATAACTTTTATGGTCTTTTTAGCTAATTTTTATGGTCAACTAACAATCAAAGTTAGCTTTTTAACAAGGTGATCAATTCTCCATTTTCAAATGTTAAAGGGAAAAATTGCACGGTTTGTAAGCTGTAACATCTTAATTTTTAAGTTAGGAATTAATTGTGGAGATTGTGGATGAATTGAGGATTCAAATTAGAATTTGTGTTATTTTGAGGTGTAATTGGAGAATTGATTTGTGATTTAGTTTTAATTGATTAAGGTTAATCATAGATTTAGGCACTTAATTATGGATTAAATTTGGCCTAGAATCATAGGAGGGTTTATTGGGGTCTAAAACGTGTATTGGGTTGGATATGGCCCAACAATTGTGGGCTTAAGTAAGAAGTTTGAATTTGTGACATGTGTTGCGGCACATAATGTGTTTGATATGATGCACAGTTAAAAATTTAAACTCTTCATTCTATCACTTGACAAAACAAAAAAGAGAGAGGAGTTGGGAGGGTTTGGTGCTAAATTTATGAGGCTCTACTAGGGCATTAATTTCCTAGAGCTTGAGGCTTGATTTGTGAGTTTTAAAGGCTTAAGGTACCTTCCTAATCTTTCTTCTACCTTCTACTCTCCATTTCTAGCTAGATTATGCAATGGGTTAGTTAGGTTTTCACTTTTTGGGTAGGCAACCAATGGGTTCGAATTTAAAGGCTTGCTTGAGGTTAAATAAGCATGGCTTGATTTTTTTTTAATGGTGTTTATCACAATGGATAGCTTAAATTCAAAACCTTAGGCTTGATAGATGAACTTTGGTGATGATTTTTGGGCTGTGGGGATTAAATTTGTGACTAAGAGGTATAATGTTGATTAATAGGACTAAGTTTGATGATTAAAGTGTATGGGAAGTGTTTAGGTTAATGAGATTAATTAATCTAATCCTAGGATTAGGAAGTGATTAATGTACATATAAGCACCTTGGTAACTATAATTACTATTGTATTGACGATAATTAATATTACATTGAATATAGATTGCGGTATTGCCACCATTGGAGGTGATAATTCTTTTGTTCCATAGTACAAGTTACAATTTTAATGACATGCTTTTCACTGAAGCTTCCAATATAATTGTGGTAATAATAGATTCAATGGTAACTATGTAAATAAGTTAAAAAATTTAGATTATATGGTGACAGACAAAATAACCAACTTTCACCGCAATTCATTAAAAATAACTAAATTAAATTAAAATTTAATTAATAAATGAATATAAATTAATTATTTCTAGTGAATTAAACTAACTTTTAATTGTGTTCAAATTTAGTTATATTAAATGTGTTTGAATTGTGATATATTTTTGGCGATGGGCACCTATTATGTCTAGTGACTTAATCTAACTTTTAATTGTGTTTTAATTTAGTTATATTAAATGTGTTTGGATTATGATATACTTTTGGCAATAGGTCCCAGGGGTGCTTATCGCCATCAATGAGCAATTTATATGTCGTCATGTTGCTAATTTTGTTTTTCAAAATTTCATGATATTGATTTTTTAAATTTTAGTATAATTTATTTGTTGGAGTTAAATCATTGAGATTTGTTAAAATGTATTGAAATTGGTATTTTAATAAGGTGAAATAGAATAATGTAATTTAATTATCCTTTTAGCTCCAAAAAATTAAATTTTTTTGATAATTTTTTATTGTTTTTTGGTTCTTTTCTTACTATTTTTTTAATTTTTTTTAGTTTGTTTGTTGGGATAATTTTTCAACACCCATTGTCATAGATTAGATTGTTGTTTGATAGTTATATGCGATAGCTTTTATGTGATAGTAGTTTGAATTAGTTGTTAATTAGGGTTGATAATTATTGGTAGTTTAATTGAGATGTGCTTAAATTGATCAAATTGAAAGGTTTTGTGCCCGGGAAAACTTGCTTTATAAGTCATTATACTACCGATTTTTTTTTCTAAATTTCCATGATATTGATTTGTTAAATTTAGTATAATTTATTTGTTGGAGTTGAATTATTGAGATTTGATAAAATTAATGTTTTATTAAGGTTAAATAGAGGGTTTATTTCTTGAGGAATATCAATTTATAAATTGTTATGCCATCAATTTTTTTTAAAACTTTCAAATTATAAATTATTTGTTGATATTTGAATTAAGTAATGATAAAATGTAGTTGGATAGATGCTTTACCAACAAGTGATAAATATGATATGGGGAGATAGATCTATTTTTAGAATTTGCAAAGAATAATGTTCTTAATAATAAAGGTTTGTTTTATTGCCTTATGTTAAATGTTTTAAATGGGTTGTGATGAAGTCTTATGAAGATTAAAGATCACCTAATTTGTTTGGGTTCTACAAAGCATGCAGATAGTAGGTGTTGTATGGTAAATCTAGAATTGTATGGTAAATCTAGAAAGCAGAATGTTATAGGATGAGGATGATGATATGAATTTTGTTGATTAGATAGAGCACATGTTATGTGATATTAGTGTTAAAGTCATTGAGAAGGTGCATAAATATAATAGTTTGTGCAATGATTTAAAGAAGCTTTTTGTATCTAGGTTGCACAAAATATACATGACTAATAATGATGTTAAAGTTGTTGAATTTGAAAGCAAGATATGAATGGAGCAATAAGAGTTTCACAAAGTTGCTCAAATTGTTGAAAGAGATACTTCCAAGGGTAATACACTTCCAAGTAGTTACTGTGAGGAAAAAAAATATTGTGCCTAATGAGTTTAGGATACCAAAAGATATATGCTTGCCCTCACTGCTGTAGATTTTATAGAAATGATTTTGAAGAGATGGATGCATATTCGGCATGTAGGTTATCATGCTACAAAGTGAAATGTATTGTCTACCTTGACATTACTATTAATCACCACACAATCACAACATACAATGGTAATTAAGAGCTATAAATCACTCCTAAACTTACTGTAAACATGAAAATGTTAAAATAATTAAACATTCAAAAATAATGTGAAATATTTAAAATCTCAAGAAAAACCTTCAAATATAAAGTTTGAACTCAAACTTAATAATTTTTAAATATATAGGAAGAATGAAAAAGTTTGAGAAGCAAAACATTTAAAAACAGGGTCGAAAATATCATTTTTGCACATTCTAGCACTTATGCAATGGCATGTGGTCCATATGCCATGGATGTGACACAAAGAGCTCAATTTCATTACCACAACACACGTGCCAATTCATGATAGCATGACAGCTTTTCAAGGTAAATTTTTGACGTGATCCATTTTTGGATCTAACATTTGATTGGAGTAATTCAAGTGCTCATGTGAAGTTTATTCAATAGGCTAACTAATGGTACAAGTTTGATTATGATCTGATGTCATGTGTGAAATTTGAACATCCAGATGCAAAAGTTAGATTTTAAAATGATTTTCAAACATCCAGGTATTCAAAACTTAAAACTTATACCATTACCCCATTTTGAGGCTTGAACCAAGTCCGATGAACTAAATTACACCTGATTGACCATTTAAACAACCAATAACACTTCAAAACTAATATTTGGCCACTCTATGCCCTATTATCACCTAATACGACTAGTTACCATATTTCTACATATAATTGCTATTTAACCAAATCATCACCATAATTCACATCTATTGTAATAGTATTTTAGCCTACTCTCATAATATTTCACCAAACATTCCCTTTAGGCTAAAATATTACAAATTCACTATACAAGTAATTTAACATATCACAACACATTTTACAATGTACCTGTACTTGTACTAGTATGTTAGCCTATCACCATACTTATTACCACATATATCATCACATCATATAATTCACGAGCCAAAATACATCATAACACATTACCATGCAAGTGCAACTCAACAAGTTTATGCATTTTTAGTTGGCAACCTAAAATATTATACATTCATGGTTATATACATACTTAGAATATAAAATGGGCATTATAATGGATAGCTGAGTAGCTATTCCTTACCTAGCTCTTTCCCTTGTACCCTATTCATCTTAGAACCTATAAAAATGTAAATTCATAGGTGAGACAATGTCTTAATAATTAAATATTCTACATTACTGATTAACAGGCAAAGCAATAACAAGTAATTATATAACAACTATCACTATGCACAAGCAACATATTATAATTCACCACTAATATATGGCATGCATAACTAAGAAATTCCATCTGATCCTCCATTGCTCCCTGACTAAATTCGTGGGCATTTATATTGTGCCAACCCCTATAGGATTAGTGCTTGCTCACCTTACATGGGAATAACTAATTGGCCAAGGTGATATCCTACTTTTGACCAATAAATTTCCCCTTACTACAAGTATCTAGGGTTTTGTTGACTCCAACTCCATACCTTTATAAGTACTAAGGAGTGCCTAAGGTGACTACCCAAACTACTCATAGTAGCAATCTCAAATATGTGCCACACCTGACATCCCAAGTTGTTAGCAGTAGCATATAGATTTTCACCACTTTTCTCCTCAATGTATCTCCCTTATACTATTAATCACCACATATGCATAAATAATTCATCATAATGCCATGCATGCACATTACTATATAAAAAGGGATTAATCACCACTTTCTTTTATGTACTTTTCATACACATACACATGTACTTTGCAAATGTCTACTAATGTACAACTATGTCTTATCTCAATTATGTTTATAGTTCTATAAAACATATTTATATGAATATAATGCATATTATGCACATGAAACTACTTATACTTGCTTAAACCAATTAATAAATGCTGTAGATTATACAGTTACCTTAACCCTTTTGTCTTTAAAAGGATTTCCCATCATCTACATGTGCTCTTATTGCTTCCTTAACCCTAAAGGGGTCTCAACTACTAAAATCTACAATATATGCACTACATGTTAGCTTTCAAGCCTAATATGAGTATGTCTTAGCTGAATTTAGTTAAATTTAACTACTCAAAAATTCATAACTTCTATCATAGAGCTATTCAAAGCTATAGCTACTCATAACATCTTCATTTAGCAATGACAAACTAATTTGTACCAATACATAGCTCCTACAGCTTTAAAAATATTA